TTATTGAAGAATTTTCTCGTTGGCAAATTTTTATTGTTTTCAAAATAATATATTTCGCAGTTGTTTAGTGCGACGGAATAAATAAGGGATTTTTTCATTCGTATCACATTCTATTTGAAAATTTCGGTGGGAATAGTTAGTGACATCAACCAAATGGCTGTTGTTAGTTATGGTTACTAGAGTTGGTTGAATTTCTAGACTTTTATTTCTGTAATGCGGAATTATCCAAGTGATGTTATTGTAAACAAACAAGCTAACAACTTAGAAGTTTTGAAATTGTTTTCTTAATGCTTCTCGGTGGAAACTCAATTTTGTATTTATCAAAATTGTTTCTGTATTAAAAAGAGATTTTAAGATATTGATTGTCTAATATTTGATTGATTAAATCAATATTTAGGTTTAATTTGCATATAACTTTTATGCCTACAATGCCGTCAAACTACTCATGAAACGGAAAAGTATGAATTCAATGGGTTGATATATTCCGAGCAAATGAATAAAAGAATTGTTGCTTTATTCGTAGCTTTCTTTCGTAGAACCAGCACAAGTTAAGGGTGCTTATGTGAGGCTTTATTGAATTTGGGAAAAGAGATTCAGCCAATGATGGTCTGAGAAGAGATGCGTGTGAACCAGTATCGATTAGAAAGCGAATATTATAATTATGGATTATGATGTACGGTAACTGGTGTGGTTGAAAACTGTTCAAATTTATCCAGGGTTTTCTGTTGGACTGGGCGTTTGTACATTTTCAAATTGATCAATCGGATTTTCGTCTAAAGAAGCTTTTTCAAATTTATCATATTCAGTTTGTTTCGAATTCATTGGCATGCTGGAAAAAATCGTAATTTTCTTCGTAAATTTCGTCTTCAAGATGCCTTAGTTCTCGAAAAGAAAAGTTTGGTTTTTCGGTTGTTTGGAAATGATTAAATGGTCTTTGTGGATTCGAGTTCCTACAGAATTGATTATCATTTCGTTGGGTTGGAATTGTACTTACTCCATACATTGGATATGGGAATTGTTGTTTTCATTGTTGGAAAGGGTTGTTTTGCTTCATTTGAAAAGGTTTACTTGACTTTGTTTGAAAGTGTTGACTTTGATTTTCAAAAACGTTTGCTTGGATTTACTTGAAAAGGTTGTGATGGACTTGTTTGGAAGGATCGATTTTGTTGGAATGAAGATTTGAATTGGAAGATCCTCGGTTTTTGAAATTTCGTTGGACAATGTGTTATGTTGTTTGAAAGTTTGAAAAGGGATCTGTTCTGATTTTGAACAAAATTGTTTTTGAAACCATTCTGGCTTATTAAAATTTCGAAATTTTTGATTATGCCAGGGGCTTGATTTGGATTTTGTACAATAAGTAATGTTCCCAATTCAAATGTAATGTTAGCTAAGAAAAAGTGGGTAGGTGGCAATTCATTCGGAGCAAGTAATATGTTACGTGCTTCTAAGTGTGGAACTTCTGCACATTCCTTAGTACTAATTTGGACGACTAAGGACCTTGTGAATGTATTCTTCTCTTGATTCACCTTTTTGCGACAAAAATATTCATTGTTGTTGCCAATTTGACCTGGTAAGCGGGTCGGTATAAATTGAGCAGCAGTTAATCAACCGAATACGAGAAGCTGCTCGAGAAGAGAGGAATTTATTAGTTTTTAATAACAATTATTTTCTTTACTATGTTACTATGTTTTTGGTACTGCTAAACACAAACTGGCAACACCTCCAGAGGAATGACGCCAATTTCGAATGATCCTGCATAAATAAAACACTCGGGCGAATATAAATTGCAGGGATACCCATAAATAAGGGCACTGAGTATTTATGTGCCAAGTTATAGGGATATGCGTGGAAATACCGAGCAGAGACCCTTTTTAGGTGGGGTTAGTCTGGTAGACAACAAATTGGTAAACGGATGTTATGAGATTGTTCCTATGTGTTTTGGAATTAAAGTCATTTTAAAGTTGTGTATTTTTCCATACACAGATTTGTTGTGTATACGTTTGTGGAGAACTACCAAATCGTAACATCTATTCAAAAGAGTTGAAACAGACGGATTTTACTTTAATATGCAACATAAACATGTGTTTCTTGACGAAACGTAATACTTCAACTGAACCTGGTTGTTTACTTCATCTGTCAAAGCGCTCAAACAAAAGCAAAGTGTGTTGCATATTAATATTTTTGTTCCAATTGTTTAGAATTAACTGTCATCCGAAAAGAGTAATGCAACGCATAATCGATTCAAAAATTGAACAACATTAAGTGCTCACTTAGAGAGTACGACGAAATGATGGAAAAATTTTTTTTTCAAAATATCTGGAAGGTATTAACAGTTGAAGATCGAATTTCAACTTTATTATTAAGTATTATTTTGAAAGGGTCCCATCTTTGATTGGTAGCATATTGGAATACTTAACCGTTCGAAAAGCAAATGTCCGATATTTGCTTCAAATTAGGAATTTTTTTATATTGAAAAAAAATAACACGCTTTTATCAAACTGTGACTTTGTTTACAGATCCATCCACAAAATGTAGGTACACCATCATCAAATTTGCGAATTTTCGATTAGTTATGGGGAATGCCACAGTAACATAGCAGAAGCTGTAGGAACTTACCGGAAAGAGCTAGAGACACTGTACAATTGGATCCAGGAATTGACACAGAAAGTGGACGATCTTGAGTTTCTCGAGTTCCAGACGTAGATGAACAGGTGTTGGCGATAACCGTCCACGTAAATGTCCTGATAATTGCTCGGAGAAAGGGATTTATTAAATATATGTTTTTCCAAACATCGGTACAAAGTAAGCTACAGTTAATTAGCCGAGTACCAGAAGATGTTCAAAATGTGAGCCCAGACGGCTGCCAAGAGTGCTCGATAAAGCGATTGGGACACAAACACGTTTGAAGCTAAACGGGCATAACTTCGAACACTTCTTATGATTCAACAACTTAATTGTATTTTATTTTATCAATATTGACCCTTTATAGATAACCCTTAACAGGAGGTTTTGGATAACAGCTGTGATGGATTAGGTATCACTCATTTCCTCCAAAAAGGGTGGCAGCACTGACGGTAAAGTGACAACTTTATCTTAACCATAAACTGTGTTATTGCCAATTCTTTCTCCAAAACCAAACAACAACAACAATCCCCTTGGAAAGCAACAAAAAAATCAAAAGGCCACAAGCTCCTATTTCACCAGTCAGGACCACACAAGGATGGACGAGAAGCAATCATGACAAAGCTCAAATGTCTGCAGACCACCTCGCAAATATTTACCAGCCTGACACCCACATAAATTGTAAATGGGAGGAACAGGTCAATTCGTATCTACTGTTTCCGCTACCAATCAAAAACATAGTTATAATAACACTAAAAAATTAAAAAGCGCTGGGCTACGATTTGATTACAGCGGAAATATTGAAGAAATTGGACAGAAAATCAATAACGTATATCAACCTAATAATGAACTCTATATTCAAGACAAATTGCATGCCAAATCAATGGAAGATCTCCCATATACTGATGATGCTGATACCGGGAAAAGACGGTAGTAGAGCAGAGTCATACAGGCCTACCAGTCTAACTCCACTACTGTCAAAAGGATTTGCAAAAGTCCTCCTAACAGGGCTAAAAGAGCATGAGCAAGTCCAGAAAATAATTCCAGACCACCAGTTCGGGTTCAGGAAAGGCCACTCAACAAGGGAGCAAATTCATAGAGTTTCTAACCAGATAAGAGAAAGCCTCGAAAATAAGACGTATTGTCCGGCTGTATTTCTAGATGTCAGGCAAGCGTTCGACAAAGTATGGCACAAAGGACTTCTGTACACATTAAAAAAATGGCTCCAGAGATACCAGTCGAAAACCCTAAGGCAAATAGTACATGCATGGTGGTATGTAATCAATGATTCCATCCACAGAGATTTGAATCTCGCCACCATCCGGAAAGAAATAGGGAGAATATCAGGACAATATCACTCAAGATTACAAGCACATGTAAACCCTCTGGCCACAGGGCTGTTGGATAATGGACATACAAGAAGACTGAAGAGATCCTTACCCCTCAACCTACCGGATAGATTTATGAGTGGTTGAATACATAGACACAACATAACAGAACTTAGAACTGAATGCTTGGCTCACCAGATAGCGTCTGATGGGTCGTCATGTGTGCAGGACGATTTTGATGTGAGCTAATCTTCTGAATGCTTTTATTATAAGCAGGTTGTCGATAGTGTTAAAATAAATTAAAAAAAATGTTTTGTGTTTTTCCAAGGCTACTACAGTTTGTAATCATTCAGAGTCAACAAGTATTTACGTAATGTTAATTAGGCACATTACTTTGAAACACATTGTTGCCATCCTCCGCATCTCAGTTTTTCGCAAATTTTTGTGTTTTCAAGATAAAAATATTAATTTTTTTCTCTATTTCCTCTATTCCCAAATCATCCCCAGACAACACCTCCAGAAGAATGACGCCAATTTTGAATCAGTACGTATAAGCAGCTAATTTGAAAACCTGGAAATATATATGGGGTGACTATATATAGGGTCAAATATCTCGTCAATCACAGTAAATACAAAAAAATATTTTATGCAAATATTGCCTAATTGTTAGTTGAAGCCCGAAGGTAAGATCAACTTTTTTTGAATGTCACCATTAACGTGTGGTAGGGACAATATAAAACATTTATGTCACTCTCTATGTAACCCACCATCGGAACAACTATACAACCTGAGAATTACAAAAAAATAATGAACACTTATACACGACAGAAACTCTACCAGAACGTTGCATTAATCGACAGCTTTTGACCAGATCATAAATGACCAGTACATTTTATTTATTAATATTATTTGTGCAGCGTTACGCAGTCGCTATAGTAGCAATTAGAAAAATTCTGCTGTTAGCTATTTTATATTATACATAATATATTATGTATTATTTACAATACGATGATTTAATAAAACAAATATTTTTTGTTGTTGATTACTTACCCATTACAATCCATATAACTATGCAGTTCCCTCCTGTAGCAACCAAGATCATACAGCCGAATACGATAATCCACGCAGCTTGAATCCACTTAGGCAGATCGGTGCTTGAGGGAGTGTTGGCTTCTGTTAAGGATCCATAATCAAGCCCTTCGAACGTCTTATTAATAGTCCAAATCTGAAATTAAAATTTCTCTCTTTTATCCATCATCAGTTTTCATGGCTCGTTACATGGGGCAGTTTTCATGGGGCGTTACCTCGCCGTTATGGCTGTCCCCAGCCTGTGGTCTCTTACATTCTCTCTCGTACGCACACAGATCAACAGATCTCAGATTAAACAGATGCATTTGTGTACCGTTTTCTATGGAAGCAACATTGGCTCACAGTCTGTACAAAAGTAGGTACTTACGAGGCTGCTTTGCCGGCTCGGTATTCAATTTGATATATATGAGTGGCATCAACAAGAAAATAGCAGGAAAACGGTAGCCATGAATATATTTAATGTTATATTTGCATAGTTTGTAAAAAGCGACAAGCAAATGTCATTAAAATAACAGCGTCGAAATTTTGTATTTAAAAAGTCATAAGAATGTTTGGTGGTAATTACCAGAAAACATAATGAAACATTCATCATGACAACATCGCAAAGGGGGAGTACGTGATAGTGAAATGATAGTAAGAGGGAAAGAGGATTTGTTGGACAAGTAAATACGGCAATTTCGCAGTGGCGTGAGTTGTTTTGAATTTATAAGCTAAGAGCCATATTCGATCCCTATTGAATCGCTATCAAATGCTTAAAAAAATTGCGTTAATATTATAGCGTTTATAATTTCAAACATATTATGTAGAGGAAAATGTCAGAGAATGAATGAATCTTTCATGCTTAGAATAAACCGATAATACAGATTTTTACTACGCCTTTGGCTAGCAGCCAGGCCAGTTGATTTTCCGATTAATTCTACTCTATGCTCGGTACCTACTTTATCCCAACCACCTGTTTTTCATTGATATATTGCCGATCGATGGAATTTAATGTTGGACCCAAACAAATCGGGATTTAAGAATGACTAGCTTGCTCTATTTATTAATGTCTTTGCAGCAGATATCGCCAAAGGTCGCAAGAACCTCAACGTTTCATTAAACCGCTCGTCGTATGGATGCGTTTTCTGTGGACTACGTTTGTCAGAAATGGTGAGGACAAAAGAGGATGATTTCTTTAAATTTCGAATATGTGGGGATCGTCTACTGAACGTTTGTATCATACTATTTAGTCATGTGTTGTTATGTATCAAATAAGCACATCTATAGAGGGTAATTAAATAATAATCAGCGTAAGTATACAACAGTTAATAACAATGGATTATTTTCTTTTGGAAAATCGTTACCTTGTGAGAACACTATACAGTTAAAAAGAAAAAGCTATTGGGTTATTATAAAATAGCTATTGGTTTATACATCAGCAAAACGAACGAAAGAAATTTGGAAAATTCCATGATTCATTTATATAAAGATTTTTAAAAAATAATCAGAAACATTTATTAGTTTTTTAGCATCCTTTAACTTCGGTGTCTCACAAGAATATACAGGCAGAAACAGTGGAAACCTGCGACCAAATCCCATGTGTTTCGGATAGTTCGCACATCGCAATGGTTTCACCGTAGGTAGGTTGCAATGAAATTGGATGATTCACTCCTCTTCGCCAGATTTACAAAAACGTATCCAAGGGACGACCGGCCTTAAGATTCCAGTGTACTTGACCGAAACAACCATAAATTATTATTCATTCTAAGTGGATATTTTAATGTTGATTTTTCTTCTGATGAGGTGCAAAATTAAATGTATTTTTTTTGTCAAAGTTACAATTATAGGTGATAAATAATCCGGAACAAACTACAAACGAGTGAGATGAAATCGAGTGTCACAATTCGTTTCTTATTACAGTTATCATAAACTCATTTTCACTTTCCTAGGATTAGCTATTCCTCTTCATAAAGGTGGTGAAAGGGATGCATCATGTAACTATCGTCCAATAGCAATGCTGCCTGTGCTGTCAAAGATAATTGAAAAGTTATTAAAAAAGCGCCTCATGCCATTTATCGTCAAACATGGAATATTATGTCCAGAGCAGTTCTGATTTTCATCTAACAAGTGCACCAATGATGCAATATTTTTCTTGCTTCATGATGTTTACTCACCGTTAAATTCCAATCGCCCCACTGCTACAATCTGTGACTATGCAAAAGCATTCGACTGTGAGTCACAACATCCTGATAGATAAGCTTGATTTTTATGGAGTACGTGGGATTTCTTCCAACTGGTTTAATTCCTATCTTCAAAACAGGCAACCGTTTGTTAGAGCTAACGGGTCCGTCTCCGAGTGTAAATTGCTAGCTGTACTGTACTGTAGTCTACTCTAAGGTTTCCAGCGATCTCGTTATGATGAAGGCTTGGGCTGACTCTAGTTTTCTGGGTTTTAACGTCAATAAAACGGTGGCGTATATCTTATATATCTTATAGAGGAGCTTTACAACACTTGCTCCTTTATAACAGCAATATTAAATTCATTAAGTCAGTGAAATTTCTAGGTTTGAACAGTAATGCTAACCTGAAGTAGTCTACACATTGACTCCCTAACAAATAAACTATCTTCCGCTTGTTTCGCAATTCGATCAGTTTCTAGGGAGCTGAATTTGTTCTCCGCCAGACTTGCTTACTTCTCTCTATTTGAGTCTCACATCCGCTACGGCCTACCTTTTTGGGGCTGCTGTAACACCCAGCAATTTCAAAGTCTGTTTAAACTTCAGAAAAGAGCAATTCGCTACTTGCTTGACCTGAAGAGTGGAGCTCATTGCAAGCGCTACTTTCAAAACCATAGAATTCTTACACTTCCCGCATTGTTCATCTTAGAGACTGTCTTGAGACGCAAACATCGAGTCACCTTTCTGGAAGGGCCACAACATAAGTACTCTACCCGAAACTCAAGTCAAGATATTTGCCTGCCCTTTCCCTCTTCCGCACTAATTAAAAACTCAATTATTTACAACGCCAAGAAATTATACAATCGTCTTCCATCCCATCTTCCATCTCTCCCTACGTCTTCCAAATTTCGGGAAGGGGCAAAATCATACTTCCCCGGAAATAATAGCGGCTTGGTGCTTTACGAACACAGAGTTTTAACTGTTTACAAAGTTCCACTCAAACAAAAACGGCTCTTAACCTGCCTACTGCCTGTGTACCTTAACCTTCTTCAGTTTGAATTTGTCGTTGTAGGTAGCAGATGCTGTGATGTTGGAAAATTTGCACAAATAATCAATTTATATCGTGAAAAGTTTTATTAAGTGTTGGGTTGAGTATGCCTAAGAAGAATCCCAGTGTCGATGAATGGATTAGAGGCTACCCAGAATGCAAACATCAAAGCGGTAAATTATTTTGTCGCGCTTGAAGCAAAATGGTAAAATATTTCTTAATTTTGTTTAACAATGTAATGTCTGACTGGTAGATTTTACATCTTTTCAGATTCAGTGTGACAAAAAATACAACATAATTCAACATGTGAAAACTAGTTTGCATAAAGAACCATTTAAAAGACCAAATAATAAACCGAAGCAGACAACGATAGCTGAAAGTTTGGGGTCATCTTCTGGATATAGCGCCCAGAAAGAGTTTAATATAGATTTATGCATAGTCTTAATCCAATCTAATATACCGTTTAATAAATTGCACAACTTCGAATTCAAAACATTTTTGGAAAAATACTCTAGGATGGACGTACCAGACAAAAGCGCACTTCCCAAAAAATATATACAATAGGTGTATAATGAAGTCATTAAGCAAATACGAGGAGAAATTGGAAGCACTTACATTGGGTTTGCAGTTTCTGGAACAACGGCCGTTTGGGGCCGATATATCCGCCCAAAAGGATATCTGATTTGTTCGCAAGAATTGGAAGCAACAAGCAATAACACTGTTTCTAGATTTATCCATGAATCATTAGCAAATTTTTATTTACCCAATGCGGTTTCCAATGACAAGATTTTGCTCATGTTTTCCGACGCTGCTTCCTACATGGTTAAAACTTCTTCAAACTTGAGAGTAGTTTATCCTAGCAATAGAGTTACTGAAACTATAAGGCAACAGTTTCCTCTGGTTAATGAGATTATAAAAAACGACAAAAATATATTTCTCAAAGCACCTTTGCGAATACAACTATATAAAGAGAGATTACCTAACACTCCTTTACTTCCAGAGCCACTTTTAGCAAGATGGGGTACCTACTTGGCTGGAAGCTGCATTATATTATGCTAATAATTTTTCAAATTTTAAAGAACTTGTTGAAGATCTACAAATCGAAACAAATAAATCAATATAAGATTGTAAAGAAGTATTAAAAAACGATAAATGACAAGGTCAGTTGACGTTTATAAAAAGTAATTTTGAATTTGTTAGCAAGGCAATAAAACGTCTTGAAACCCAATCGCTAAGTTTGGGTATATTTACCATTACCATATTTCTTACATAAAGGCAGTTATATTTATAGGGTTTTTTAGTGTTTGTTTCATGTTACTGAGCCCTTAATGTCACAGTAGCTTTAGGAGTTTAATGCTTTTCTGTTCTTCTTTAAATGTTTTTATGTTCAAATTATATGCTTTTTTAAGCACTTATATCAGATTTTTTGCGCGTTTTTATTCGAGCTTTACTTATTGTACTGGATGCCAATTCTTTATGAGGAAAGTGAAGGCAATAGCTATCGGGTGGTACGTGGCCTTTTAGAAGCTTTTGGATTTCTTCTGTAGCCGGATCTTATGGTATGAATATTATAATTGTTTCTTTGTGTCAAACAATTTGTTTATCGTTACGTGAGATGTTCCTTTCGTATTCCATTTGAAAAATTACTTGTTTTTTGAAAGTACTTACACTTTTGTTGACATATGGTGCGACTTAAATTGGATAATAATGTATGTGTTGTTCCGGTTTTACTGGGACTTAATGAATGTGCCTTTTCAGAAGCTGTATCTGTATTTGAATTTCTTTGGGAATTACGAGGATATCTGAAGTTATTTTTGTTTTCTCTTTTTTCTTTTGAATTGGCTTAAACGGATTTTCCTGAGATTTAAAGAAGTGTTTGTTTTGTCAAAGTTGTGATTCTATCATGCCATGAGTATTGATCATCTTGCTTTTATGTGTTTTGTTCACAAACACATAAATTTTCTTGCTTCTATAGGGTTGATTTCCCTGGGTGGTCTTGAAAGAGCTTTTGCGTTTAAGTTTTGCTTTCCTTTTTTATGATGAATGGTATGATCAAACTTTTGTAATTTTAATCGCCATCGTACCAACTTCTAATTTGGTTCTTTTATTGAAAAAAGCCATTGTAATGGTTTATGATCGGTAATTACTAAAAATTTTCTACCGCAACTATAGGGTCTGAAATATTTCGTTCCAAGGACAATTACCAATAATTATTTTTCTATTGTTGAATAGTTGCATTCCGCTGGGTTTAATTTAAAGTATGCAATTGGTAAATCTGCTCTTGGATACTGATCGGAAACTTGGAAATTCTTGGATACTGATCGGTTTGGTGACCTCCAGCGCATTTAACGCAACTAG